GGTCCTCCTGACCGATCCGGTCGCTTTGCTGTTTGCTTAAGACATTGAAATGGGGCTGGGGATGAGGTCCTCCAGACTGATCCGGTCGCTTTGCTGATTGCCTAAGAGATTGAAATGAGGCTGGAGATGAGGTCCTTCTGACCGATCCGGTCGCTTTGCTGAATCGGTCAGTTTTGCTTGTTGACCAAGGGTCTGACTCTTCTCCTTGTGAGAATAGTTCGGGCTAAGCGTGTTAGTGATTGCATGGGGTTTGACTGAGAACAACTTGGAAGGTTAATGAACTAAGTAAGATACAAGACTTATGTTTTTTGTGATCAAGATAAGCAAAAGATAAAAACTTTGGATGAACGAACCCTTGTTTTGAATTTGGTTGAATGCATTGTTGATGTGACATGCTTGTTGGCAATGCCTTGTCTTTTGCTCAAGCTCTGTTTATCTTCTGCATTATAGGGTAGTCTGTTAGTGCTCGCCTTATGCTTGAGCGATAGGCAGGCAGATGCTCACCTTTGTTTTTCGCATTTATCTTCTTATGCATGATTGTTTTTTATAGGACTTTGGCTAGCCTCTGAGATAGTGGAAGTTCTAGAAGCCTCTTTTCCTTAGGGGAAGTGCTGCCGAAATTTCTGCTAAACATTCAGGGTTAGTCAAGTCTCGGAGATGTCAACTAGGATAGGATATAGTTTGGTCTTTTGGAGTCAATAGGAATTTTGGAGGCCTTCCTTTCTAAAGGAAAGGCTGCCGAAATTTCTACCGAAACCAAAGAGTTAGCTTATTTTCATATATTTTTTTGAATCTCGAGTTTTCTTTTCAGATTTGGTATAATAAATATTTTGCGAGCACAGTTCCCGGAAGTGCTGCCGAAATTTTTGGGATTTTCATATCGTTACTGGACGCAGCTGCTAAGTAAGCTTAGAGTGCGTTACGGAGTTGAACTCCGTTAACTCGACAGGCGATGCCTGCCTTGATTATTGTGGCGCAGGTCATTGCTACCTGCGAGAGTTTCTTCGAAGTCTTGAGCTTCATCAACTGCTGCTATCACCTGATAGCAGGTCGGTTTGCGACTCAACTCCTACCCACCATGATACCCACGCCCAAATGTCTGTGACCCTGTAGGCGAAAGACATTTTCGTGTGAAAGAAAACCTACCCTTGGTACCTCTCTTGAATGACCACCCAAAAGCTGTGCGAATCGGGACGGGCGGATATGCCTTTGTTGAGTGGGGGTCGGAAAGGGGCGTATGGGACATGAACCTAGGAGCTGAGGAGTTGACCACGTTTTGTAGCATATGCGTGTGGATTTTCATTGGATTCCATGTGTGTGCAGGTATGTATGGGAGCGATGGCTCGCTCCTGGATTTGAGAGTGGTACGGATGAATGAAGGCAGGGTGTGAGTGACAAGGTTCAACGATGGCTGTGAGAATGACTCTCCCTGATTTCCCTGAGACTCGCCTTATTTTATATTTTGCTTTTGCCGCACGCATCTAACGAGCAGGCATGAGTAGCCAAGCGCAAGGTTTAGCGCTCGACCTTAGATCGGACTAAGACTTAGTTTGGGTACGGCGAATTGCTCGCCAACCCGTGATTACTCGTATTTTCCTTCCGCAGGGGAAGGACGAGCGTACCTCGTCTCAAAGTGGTCTTGTTTTTTTTCGATTATTTGTCGGACGTTGGTCCTGAGCCTGGAATTCGAGGTCCTTGTCCAGGACATCCCAGGCTCTGGTCCAGCACAATAAGTTGTCCCCCTTGAGCCGGATCTGCGCCCCTTGCTTATCGTCATCCACTGCCTAAAAAACAGGGGTGCTGCAAGGGCCGAACAACTTTCCTTCAGCCGTGCAATATCGTGAAGGAGAAACCCTTCACGATATTTTGCTTTCGACATACGCAACCATGGGAGGTTGCACGGATGTGGGTAACGCATGAAGCGTCGCCATGATAGCAGACTAAGTGAGAACACATGACTGAACGTTATGGTTCCCATGGCAGTGACATTCTTTTTATGCAACTCTGCACGGACCTCGCTCAGTCATATTGGCAGTTCTGAGTTATGGGTCAGGACGTATGAAAAAGGGACTAGGCTAATTTGCTTGTATGAGTTACTTTGTTTCGTCGTGTATCACGTGGTTGAGTTAGGATGTCCTAGTCGACTGACTCGCACGTGGGAGATCAGCGCCCCAGTGTGACGGTTCGCGTATGAGTCCGAGCTAGGCGTGGACCGCGCGTACCCCCTATGCTACAGCATACGAGAAACGCCCTCGACTGAGCCACCTCCGCGATTGCAAATAAAAGATTTCACGTGTGGTTCAGTAGCTCGGCGGGGATACGCCCACCCAAGAGATGGTGACAGCTCCCGCGGGTGAAGGTAAGTTGTACCTCGCAAGACCCTATCCTGTCGTAGGGGCTCCATGGAGGTATAGCTGACGCACTCGGCCGGAGCGGCTCTGCCAATTCCCTTTTCGTGAAGCGACATGCGAATTCTGCCAATCCTGCGTGACGCGGCCAGGAAAGGTTCCCCTAGCGGGGACCGTGCGCGCGACAACGCCTTATTTGAAAACAAAAGAAAAAGAAGAGAAAAGCGAAAAAGACCGTAGAAGAAGTTGTTCCCCTTCGGCGCTCGCTAAGGCGTGGGCCCATTGTCCCAAGGTCCATAACCACCACCGTTGGCGGGGATAGGCGGGGGTGGATCATTCGGGAGAGGCGGTAAGAAATTCGCCATCCCCATCACCGTTTCCGGGAGCTCCTGGTACCTGATGATGCGATGGATGCGGGGGAAGCAATTTTCGCCTTCAGGGAGGGAAGCAAGATAATCGGGATAGAGGGTTGAGAAGGTGCGAAACAGCGCCGCACGAAACTGCTCATGATCTGCACACACGGGGATAGTTCCCGAGAGGATGCAGTAGACTTCAATGACGTCCTGGTCTCACCACACGGCGCTGATCAGAAGGACGTGGAGATAGAAGGAAGAAGAGACACATTGGGTGGCGGGGTGTGGATATACATCGGCGACGAGGCGGGTGGCGTAGAATTGGTGGAAGGTCGAAGGAGGAAAAGGATTGGAGGGGAAAGAGCGCGGAGTGTCGATCTGTCGGAAGGTGATGTAATCAAGGGGACGGCGGGATAGGGAACGGAGACGTAGCCCGATGTCCCTAATTGCCACGAGCTCGAAATGAGGGACGGGGGGAAGGGGAGGGGGAGTGGGATCGCCTGTGCGTCGCCGTGCCAGAAGTCTTTGCATGAGGGTGCTCATCTTCCTTGGCCGGCGGCTCGGGATCTTTAGTCGGGTCGCCCGGAACACGCAGGTCAACTCCTACCAACAGTTCCAATGACTGCTTTCCTTTTGCGATGGCCGTCCTACGCCGTTCTCTCTTCGGATCCTCCTCCTGGGCTTCCGTCTGCTCCGCTTCCCCTTCTCTGGCCGCTTCTTCTTCGGCCTCCTCCCGCTCTTCTACTTCTTCTTCTTTGCTCACCGCCCCCGCCTCATGCTCACTATGCTCGCTATAATCCTCGTCCTCTTCGGAGGCCTCTTCCTCGGTTTCTTCCTCTTCCTCGTCCTCCTCCTCCTCCTCCTCCTCCTCTCGTCCGCTCACCAGGCTGAAGAGAGCGTCCGTAATCATCCCGGGATTCAGGCAGCTGTGCGATGGGTAACACGCGTTGTCATCATCGCCTTCCAGGCATGCTGACCATTGCAGATACGGTACCAGGCGGCGCGAGAGGATGTGTGGTACTGGACTCTTGTCGGAGTGCGAGATGACGTCAAGCGGAAGGTCGTCGAGTAGCTCGGTCTGAAGGATCGGTAGATCGTTTATGATCGTCCGTCAATGGCCCGACTCGACTGATCCGAAGACGAATCCTAGAAAATCCCCCTCCGTGACCGCCTTCCAAGCCTGAATGAGTAGCAGCTCGACGTTCTCACTAACAACTGGCTGGTCACCCTCCTTCCACCACGTCAGATCGATATCGATCAAGCACAGCGAAATAGTCACATACGTCTGCCACCACCTTAGCCACTGCTCCAGCTTGATCTTGGGAAGCATAAGCGGGCGTACACAGAAAGAGAGGCGGGGATGGAGTGCGGATTGCCAGAAGAGAGGAAAGGTAGAGGGGAGACTGAAGGTAGAGAATCTGGAACGATTCATTGGGGGCACAGGAAGGGGACAAGTTCGGGGATGAGCACCGCTGGTGCATGCCGAGAGAGGCGAATGCTGTCTGTGTCAATACTGTCGGTATTGACGATGTTCTCCCCCCGCTGCACGAGCATCTGACTCCACACCCTCGACAATTGTGCTCCCCACGCTCGCAACGAGTCAAGGATGGTCGTATGCGCTCTGGGATCGAGCGGCGTAAGATCCCCGCTGAAGATGATGACTGTCGAGATGTGAGCAGTTCTTGGCGCTGAGAGCCGGCGGTAAGCCGAGGCTTCGTCCAACAAGAGTGACCTACTATTGGGGATCGCAAACCGAAACTCTACCTCCGCGTAGAATCCCGCTGTACTGAAGAACTAGGCGAAGCGGAGAGCGTCCGAGTTGATGTGCGGCTGATACACTTGCCGAATCAATGAGATATGCCCACCTGGCGCCAACATGCGTTCACTGAGTACCTGCTCTGTGGAGAAACTCATGGCGAAGAGGAGGGAGAAGATGAGCGAGTAGGAGAGAGAGAATGAGGCTCGTCGCTGTCCCACTCAGACTTCGAAAGCGACCCAACTGGAGAAGGAGGGGAGGAAGTCGAGAGATGGGGGAGGTAGGACACGTGGCGGACGATAGGCCTAGCCGACCGGCTACCGGACACCTCAGGAGCAAGCCACACCGTGTTCACGCCGTTAGGACCGAGCTCGATCACTCTGAAGCATCCGTGGAATCGTGGCACTAGCTTGCCCTGGCGCGCACATTTCCTTACCTTCACCAAGTCCCCCAATTTGCACTGGGGCCGAGGGCCAGCATTCCCATTTCGGGCCTCATAACTCCGGACCTGGCATCCGTGGGCCAATTCAGTCATATGCTGTCTTTTCCGGGCCAATCTCGGAAGGGCCCGTTCCATAACGTCCAGATGGCGCTTGGCCTTGTCCTTGGCCGTCGCCCGTGTGGGACGTTTGTCCAGCGTCGTTTCATTATTTAAGTTCGGTATCGAGACACAAGATAGACTGTTGGTACGTACCTGGAAAGGTGAAAGTCCGGTAGATTCATGCGGGGTGCCTCGGTGTATAGCCAAGATGTGATCTACGATAATAGGCCACTGTCGCGTGTCCTTAGCTGCAATATTCCGTCGAAGTGCCGTTTTAATTACCCGGTTGGCATTTTCTACGAGGTCGTTCGATTGAGACATATGGGGAGCCGTATTACGAATAGACACCCCGTGTACGACCAGGTTCCTCATGACTTCTCCCCTGAATTCAGCTCCGTTGTCGGTAAGGATTTCTTCGGTGTCCTGATGCATCCCGAGGAAACGGTTGACATACCGCGCTATTTCCGCCGTCTGTCTTGTCCAACATGGGTAGGCCTCGATCCACTTTGAGAAGTGGTCGACAAACACCAAGAGAATTGAATATTCACAACTATTCGGTCCAGGGGGGACGATAATATCTGTCGTGTCCATGCTAACCCTTTGAAATGGTCGTTGGACTACGGTGGGCACTATCGACCTAGGTGGCTGAATCGGTGCCTTGTCGGCCGCACAGTCAAAACAATTTTTAACAATATATTTAACATCGTCCCTAATGTTGGACCAATACCATTCATTCTTGTCGATGGCAGATTCGGTGATCCTGACCGCGAAATGGGTTGCTGTCTCTTTGTGGGTTGCTTTAACCC